TCGTACTGCGGTATTGTGACAAAACATCAGGACATACTACCACGAAGCGCTCAAGGAAGGTCACGATATTGTATTTCAGTGGTTGCCGAGTCATTGCGGAATCATCGGCAATGACCGCGCGGATGAAGCTGCTCAATCGGCTCATGACCAAGACCAGCGCACGCCCATACCGCTTTTGAGAACGGATGCTGCAAGGCTACTACAATCACTTGCTCGCCGTATATCTCTCCTTCAATGGATTATGCAGGGTTTCTCCAACACGCACCTGTATTAGATCGACCCAACTTGCAACTTCGTTTGCCATCCGGGCTCCCACGAAGCGCTGAAACTTTACTGTGTCGCATGAGGTTGGGCGTGGCATTTACGAATTCGTACTCTCGTCTCCTTGGAATGGCGAGCACTTCGGCATGCAACATTTGCGCCTGCGAAGAAACGCTTGAGCACATTCCATGTCATTGCCCAGAATACCAGACCGAACGACGTATTATGGAAGCCAAGCTCTGTCAACTGATTTTCACGGCCGCTTACAGAATAGAAGATCTTGGGACCTTGGCCGACGGCTTCCCATACGCGTAAACTCACGAAAGCCCTCTTGTAATTTTTAAGAACCACCAGACTGCACGACCGCTTGTGAAAGAACTGTGCGAGACCGTGCTGTGTAGTCTCGAGCTGACTATTCACGCTTCTCTTTCTTACTCCTCTTCTTTTCTATCTCTTTCCGTTCTATTATTTTCCTTTTCCCCCACCCCAAGTGTAGGGTAGCCAACCGAGCCAAGCTTGGTTAACCTCCCTGCCTTTCCTCTCTATTTATCTCTCTCTCTCTCCCTCTTCACCTTCGCAACAACTTGAAAATCTATATAAGTCCAACGTGTAAATAAGCGCGCTGTAGAGATTATCACAGGCGTTCAAAAGGTTCTACTCAAGGGGGTTGGAGGGCTGGCAATGCCTACTGGGACATTGAAGCTGCTGACGGCAGCTTGTAGACCCGGATGACCTCTTTAGTCTAGAATAAATAATAAACGTGAAGTTTCACCTGCGTCTTCCCCCGTTCCCCTCTGTTCGTCGAGTGAGAAACAAAACGAGCTCCGCGATGGATACAAAGATGAAAACGAAGCCATGGCGTGCTCCTCGCAAAGGCCTGCCGTTGGTCTCCCGGCTTTTCGGGGGTGAAGCAGGGAACAGTTCATTGAATGCAACATCAGGGTTATCCGGTCTCCGCTGTTCGCGACTCCAAGTGAGCGCTCGCCACCTAGCGGCCACGCTTGGAAACGGCTCTAACAGGGTCAGCATTGAAAGCAGACGTGTTACCAGGTGGAGCGCGTTGAGAAGCAGCCGCATTGTTCCTTGCTTTTCGACATTCAGCTCGCGCGAGCCTGAAAAAGAAAGAGATATCCAGAGACCATTGCAGCGGGTTGCAATGCGTGGCTATCCTGATGGAACGATGGCAACGTATCACTCTCTCACTTCCTGATGGATCCGGACGATAGGCGATGGAGAACTCCGCACAAAAACAACAACAACATACGCATTGGAAAGATGGTGGCGGACACTACGGTGTTTGTTTTAATCAAGTCGCTCACGACGACATAATCATCCTCGGTGAGTACCCCATTATTTAGCTTGTGTACATTCTTATAGAAATTCGGGCTTCTCTAAGCGCCGAATATAGTCTCGCTCATATAAGCAAGTGTTTGGGGAATTTGTTGCATTTCGTGTGTGACTATTTACCGCATATACTTGATTTCTGTGTTAATGATAGTGCTAGCCATTCCCGATTTGAGCTCCTGTAATCCTTCCCCCCAAACAATCTTGATTTATCATGTGTGCGTACGTGCGCACACCAACACAAAGGTCGCGCGTACGTAGCGTGTGTGTATATGTTTGCACGTAAATACGTCACGTCCGTCCATTCGTAGCGTGAGTAGTGTGCGTGCATATTTTTGCTTTGAATATCAACAACTGCCGACACGAACAAGCAAATGTTAGGAAGCACACGACCTTAGTCATTAGAAACCTAATAACATGGATTGGCGAACGGAAAGAAAGGAGCGCTCCTACTACAATCGAGGCTACGGTTCGCCTTACCTCCTTTCCGTAATTATCTGAACGACATGCGTATTCAGTTCACTACTCCTGCTGAAGTAATTTCGATAATGATTGCCCTTAAAACTACTAGTGCTGGTCTTGATAATATTAAAGTTTACCATAATAAAATGATTGTATGATCCATTGCTCATGATCCATCATCAATCTCAATTTCAAAACTGCTGTTCTTCCCCGCGAATTTAAACGCAGTTGCATCAAATCTGTTTTTAAAGATAATAATGCAGTGTTAAGGAATTAGAGACCAACTTGCGTTATCCCATTTTTAATAAAATTATAAAAAATAATTGAAAAGTCGATGAGGAGGAGGAATACATTATAATTTAAACCAGCAGTTTGATCGGCTGGGCCTCCCACATGCGAACGACGAGGTCTTGCCTCTTCGCAACCTCGCTGGCTTAAGAACAGTGGTATAACTCTTCTGACACTTGTCAATTACCTTTTCAAAGGCGATTGATCAAGGTGATTTTGATAGGCCTACTTACGGCCTTCGACACTATTAATCGCCCCATTCTCTTAGCAAACTCGATTGTGTTCATTGATTTCAAGTACTTCGTACTCGACTACGATGAGATGGCAGTGAGCCGTCCTTATGGAGTTTATGAAAAGTTACTCACGATTTAAAGTACGACGTACTCCACTATGAGAGAGCTTAAAGCCGTCCCTGAGATATCTGTTTAAGCACGCGAACAACGAACTGCGTGATAAAAGACGCCAACGATTTCACGCAGAGAAGCCGGGTATCTAAATGCGGTCTTTCAAGGTTCTTTAGTTCAAGGCTGACTTGTTTCCGCTGTTTTACAATCAGTAATGTTCTTTTAGACCACAAATTTGCCGGTGGTAAGCCGTTCTTCATGTGAGAAACATGCTTTTTATTGAGCTGACTTATATTTACGAAGATTTGTGGGGCTTACGTCCCAAAACCATTATATGATGATGTGAGACGCTGTAGTAGAGTGCACCGGAAATTTCGATCACCTTCGATTCTTTGACGGGCCCCCAAATCTGAATACACGGGCCTACAACAATTCCGCCTCCATCGGAAATGCAGACGCCGCAGCCGCGACTTGATACCGCGACCTGCGGGTCAGCAGGCGAGTACCTTAGCCACTAGACCACCGTGGCGAAGCGACTTGACTTTACATTTGTTGTCTGTGTATAAACTTATGCCAATCTTCTTTGATGTAGCAATTGAGATGTTGCGTTAGTGTACAACTCTTCACAGGTGCACTTTCGAATCAGTGAGCTGCAGGCGTGGAGGAAGAAAAAGAAAGGAGGGGGCAATGGGTCCCACGAATGAAGTCAAGTAGCCAAGTTTAGCCCGCCGTATCGGCCCAACACGTGATGAAAACGTCAGTACGTGTGGGTTTATTACCCTCGGTAGTGGCCCACTTTTGAACCTCCTTCGTGAGCTGGCCGGTCTGCGCCGAACAACCGCATTTTCACACCTCGGCCAGAGGGTGCTGCTCCGCGTGCGTTTCGCCATCTTTCTATTGGTCGGTCGGTACCCCGCCTTCTGCCTGCGCTCTCTCAGCGCTTTGACACGCTCTGCACCCGCTCTTTTCTGATCATCCTGTACGTGCAGCGTCACCTGTGACTCTCTATGAATGTTTAAAATGGGTATAAAAACGTTTTCACGGTGTGATTACCACCAGAAACGCGAGGGATTAATCGACAACGTTAGCGGGACCAAGCAATTAAGTCTTCTAATACAATGTCATTGAACTTGTCATATATGTGCGTGGCGATGGTGAAAAGCCGCCTTTCTTTCAATTAGAGGTTTTTAGTTTGACGTTTCTGTGGTCCGCCCCTCTCCGGGAGCACCCGCGAAGCCGCAGCGGAGCGGCGGCTGATTTTTCTCTTTTAGTTATTCGTTGCCGGCAGCGAAGCGGACCTTTCTAGGGTTCCTCGATGCGCGCGCCCCCTTGCAGGGTGGAGACAACAGCGTCGTCTGCTACGGCGTCCGCCATTAGGGTGCCCTCTCCGCAGGCCACCTATAGCCACGATAGGCAGCCAACGGGCGTCGCGCGGCTACATGCAGAGTTCGTTGTGTCAAAACGAGTGGTACTCAAACAACATGACAAAAATACAAAGTTTTCGCATCGGGAGTGTCAAGGTCTCAGATTTCTATTCTCTAATCTTTATTTTTAAAGCGACATTAGCAGCTGGAGTTGTTCGCAGCAGAATACTACCGTCCACGCCAGCCACGTTAACATCTTCAGTTAGCATCTTCTTGGGCTAGTCGGTAACTATTTATACTGGTTAAAGATGCGAAACACACGCACGCAAGTCCCATAACCTTTCATTGTGTCTGTGTGTTTTGTGCCTTTCACAAAAGTGTAAAAACAGTTTGCCTGCCGGTCAAAAAAAGAATTAAAAAAAACAACGTGCTGTCACGAGAAAAGAGAAAAACTGTGATTGCACACCATATTTTCAGATCTAGTTTTCGAATTATTCATCAGCTACTCCATTTACGGACCGCACCCTGCAACGCACAGTATTCTGAATTTTGTTTTCATCTTTTTTACCTTACTGTAAATAGCAGATGGGCAAAAAAATTGTTCAATACATATACTATTTGGGGCTCTACATACGGCTTTTATGGCATTAAATCATGACTCGCACGCAGACACTGACTATCAAACCAGGTTTAGCGTGTTTTCCGCTGGAATATATTATAAATTAGTAACTGTAATAAAGCGTTCGTCGATATCGTTAAAATGAAGCGACCACACGGCTTCTCAACAATAAGAAAGCAAATTGCGTTCAATATACGGCAATTTCTGATGCCATAGCTTGTTTATTTCATCGATAACTTTAATATATTTCAAAAACAAGTGCTACAACTCACTGCAAGTTAACCGCAGCGCATGTCTTGCTTCCACTCCCACTGTTTGTTGCATACCAGCTATGTCGTTGACATGTTGTTCTTGAATTTCTGTCGCTGAGGTATCAGAAGCATGGGGTTGACTGTGCAGAGAACAACTTTCTTCTGCGGCCGCAGGCGTCCCTTGTGGTAAAAACCTTTCTTTTGGTGGCTTCCTGTGCTTAGGCATCGCTAAAAAAAAACACACATATGTTGCATATCAGCTGGCAGATTCTTTTATCATTATGAACGAACATGCTCTGAGCGTCGCTACGCATAGAAATAAAAATAAACAAAGTGCGAAGTTGTCATTATCCTGCTTCTGGATGGCAGGTGCGGTTAATTCACCCATCGATAAAAATGGAGGAAACGAGCGATTTCATTGACCGAAGGTATTAAGAGCGTTTTTCTGTAATGTGCGTTTTTTTTCTGTTTTTAAAGAAACACCTGGTTAGACCCTCCATGTGACTCTCAAGAAGGCCGGCAATAACAGTGCTAAACGTGGAACTGACTAAGATTGGAACAAGGAACAAAATTAGGAAGCAAACTCGCAAACTTCCGTTAACGCGAAAATAAGTGGATTCCTACCTCTGAACGAAAAGATTGTTGGCAGAGCATTCGGCTTCAATTTTTTCCAGCCGTCCGCACGGTTCTGCTCAAATGCGGTTTCTTCGAAATGTCCCTGCAGCGCGGAAACACGCGATGATCAGGTCTCAAAGATCTTCACAAAAACCTTCTAAGCAGACCACAACAGCCAACACTTTCAGGGACATGCGTAAAGAGTGATAAGGGAATTTTAGGGGCTGTTGTAGTTGGATTTAATAATAAAGAAGGGAAAATTGTCAATTTCTTTCTGAAAAAACAGGGACAGTGAGAAAATATTATTTGATAATGAACTGACGGGATGCGTGCTTTCAATGTGATGTTACAAAAACAAATTGTTGAAGGCGCCGGTAGCAACAAGCGACAACGTAGGCGCACATCTCTGCGCAATTGCAGCTTGTGTACAACAAGCGATCAAGAACAACGCATTTTGTGCTATCCAAAATGAACAATACGCATGTACATAGCATGCAAATGAACGAGTATTGCACCCGGTGCACTGGTGATAGCGATTAAGCCCGATCGGGGTCAGATTTCTGAACAGTCATTGGCGTCCTTCTGCACCAAAAGCCTTTCACATGAGTAACCAACAAGCCCACGTTGCAACCCTCATCGACTACAGTCCTTCTGCAGCTTGCGTATAAGGGAGTCAATCACATCAGGCTCGATCGCGATCAAAAATGCTGAAATGGCATAACTTACGCTGCACAAACACGAACGGTCCGTGGGTTGCCACTTGTCGCGCTTGATCTTTACCAGCCACAGGAGTCGCCTTTTCGGATCTTTCGGAAATCTGAACATCCTATAGCCATTTCGCGAGTGGTTTGTGCACTGTGGCACGCAACACCCGGGCATTTTGCCCGAGAAAACGCTATTAAACGCCGCGCACCTGTCTCACACAAACCAGACGCGACGGGGCTAGCACACTCTAGCGAGGCGGGGGGGAGCCGAATGGCGGCCGCCGATCGGAAGGCGGCATTCACCCCCTCACAGAATGACTCCCCCCTCCAAGGCGGCGGAGGGGAGAGCGCGCATCGAGGAACCCTAGACCTTTCGCAGTTGCAGCGCCCTCTGGTCGTTTTCATCGTCGGTAAACAAAATAAAAAAACATTTTTTTCACGTATACAAAGCAAAACAATAACGTGTAAAATATCTTTTCATGAAGCATTTAGAAATCCACTTTCAATGTATTAACGATCTATTTTTTTGACAAAGAAGCAAGCTCTGATTGAATAGTAGCCGCTCAAAAGCCAGCAAGGTTCCGTTCCAGATCCATTGGAAGCATTCACTGTGTGTTCTTTGCGCTTTTGACGCGTGTGTGGTGGCGGCGTTTTTATTTTTCACCATTGAAACTGTGTTTTCGCGGCTTGCGCCGGGCAGGTGACGGCGAAGCTGCAGCACTCGCGGAAAGCGTGCCATCTCCGGAGGAAGCCATCTTGAAATGAGCAAACTTGCTGCACGCACGAGAGAGGGCGCGCGCGTTGTCCCCCTTCCGCTTGCAAAAACGGCAGCGACGCACCGCGCTCCGCTTAGGCTGCTCGTAAGGGGACCATATTCCCCGCTCCGGTAACCCGCTTAAGGCCTTAGCGGAGGGCGCATGCGTACTCGCGTTCCCGCTCCGCTTAGCTGCTAAGCCGAGCGTAAAAACGTCAAACTAAAAACCTCTATTAAATGTGAGGTGACGGGGCGAATTCTATATTTATTTTACCGGTAAAACGCAAATTTGCTGCGGCAGTCGTGTGTTGTCGGAGTTGTCGGAAAATCACCCCCAGGCGTTCGCTTGCATATGTATATAGCGTTCGTATTTCGATTGCTTGGATGCCGAGTTGGTCGTGCGGCTCTAAATTCATGAGGAGGTGAGTGTGAAGAGCCTAAACTTCGGTGTTCCGTGTTGAGTCGCAGGTACCATATTGCAAGGCACAGTGTTAGGTTTCATAAGAGTTTAACTTTTGCCGAGGTTTTCATTGAATGATGAAACATCGTATCGTAAGTTCAATGCCACTTTGAATTTCTTACTGACGATCCGGTTTGCGGCACCGACGAAAATATCGAACACCTGCTGTGCCATTGTCCTCGATTTGCCTCAGATAGACAAGTACTTGCCAACGCAATGTGGCGACTGGATGATCGGCCTCTTTCTGTGCAGGTGCTATTACAGCAACGTCCACATGCCTCGACAGCCCACAAGGCAGTGAAAGCCCTGCTGTGTTTCCTGAGAAAGACAGGCTTGTGTGAACGCCTCTGACATGCGGTAGAGTTCTACACGCTGCAGTGAAATTACTGTCAGTCACTGCCGCAACCTTTTTTTTTCTTTTCCCTCTCTTCTCTCTTTCTCGTCTTTCTTGTCCCCTTCCCTAATCCCCCAGTGTAGGGTAGCCAACCGGATGTCTTTCTGGTTAACCTCCCTGCCTTCTCCCTTTTTGTTGCTTCCTGAATTTCTTACATCTTCTTTGAAAGCACATAGATGCGCACACAAAAAAAGAAATTTCATGCCCACTTTGACTATGGATGTTCATGCTTTCTGCAGTGCACGTTTCATTACGGATAATATCCATCCTGATCACGCAGCAATTAATTCTAATGTGGCTTTGATTGTTTTGACAGCTCGCTTGGTTATTGTCATATTACACAATATACACTAGGATTGAGCATGTTTTTGGTTACAGCAAAAATTACCCCTGGTAACCACGTCCAATTTCGGGACACAATCGATAATTTTACAGCTGCCTTGGTTCTTTCTTCAACTCCTTTTCATAGCTGCGGATGTACATCACCCACGGTAAAGGCTCATGCAATGATCTATTATTTTACATGCCAAAACCATATTATCATTAAGAGGCCGTGGTGTGAGACTCCAGGGTAATTTCGGCCAGCTTAGGTTTTTTTTTGTTTATAACGCGCACATATATCTATTTCAAATGTAAGGTGGGACGATGACAACGGACAAAGGGTGCACACACGCCAAGCGCCGATTTTGTTTAGTATTGAATTATGCAATCCCAAAACGCCCTGTCTGCCTTTCTTACACCTGAATCTAAGCACATGCAGTGTTACCACCTTTCGCTCCCATGAAAATGCAGCTGGTGTAACCGAAATCATGACTTCAATCCTAGCATCGCGACACCTCAGCCATATAACTTATCGGTGGGTGTTGCTCGCAAGACCTGTACGTACAAACGATAAGCTCGAACACGCAGCAGCATAAATATGTTTACGCTGAGCGGTGACAAGAAATCTACAGCCATCAGCCGAACAAAACACTTGCAGGGCTCACAGTAAAGCGTGTTTACAGTGGTGTATTAGGCTTGCAAGCTCCGCCGCTTCTCCATTTAATATGTTTGTCTCGAAAAACCAGTGCCCAATCTCGAAATGTAGAGCAGTTGTCTTTTTGCTGCAGCTTCAGCTTACAAACGCACCTCCTTTCCGTATGAGCTCGGTCATCACGTTTCTCTAAATGCCCTGTCTACCATTCTTCTTCGGTTAATAGTTCGTAATAGTGAGCACGACAAAAATGTCTTCAACAAGACCGCGGAAGTATCGACGAACTGCCACAATCCACTCTTGACGCCACTGCTTCTCGCACAATTGGAAACGGTAGAACTTCACGGGCAGTTTCAAGCTCTTCGGCGTTTTTGAACTTTTGTAGCAGCTCACAATACACCAGGAGTGCTTGCCTGTTTTCCTGCATAATGAAGGAGCGGCGTCGATGCGTGCAAAATGGGAAATAAAAGCCCCAAAGAGTACGTTTTCCGTGCTCGCAATGGAAAACCAAGCAAGAGCGGCCTTTCCTAGCGATTGGAGCTTTGCCCTGTCTTCGCTAGGCCGGCGAACGGCGCTGCGCTAACTTGAGCCTGTCTTCCGAAGTTACGGCAAGTCTCGTTACTTGCGTTATTTCACAGCAAAACATCCCGTGTTGGGCCGACACGGCTGGCTTCGAAACGGGTCGGCTTGCCAGGGCTGGCTGCGTGACTTACTGCTTCTTTCTTACTTTTAATTTCCTCCATGCCTGCAGTGGTTGACGGTATGTTCTCACTGTTGCCATGGTGCCCTGGGCATTGTATGCCATACCTGCACACATGGTACGCTTGGATGTAGTATGTGTTAGAGGCGCCTCTCTCCTATAACAAGATACTCTCGTGTCAGGTCAATCTACGTATTAGAAGAATAGATTACCTGGTCATCACTTTGTCGTGTACGAGTACACGAACAATCAGCCAAAGAGGAACAATTTGGGTGAAATCGTGTCTGCCCTACAGTATGCCACGGGATGAGTGCAGGTGTGATATGTTCGCGTGGCATCGCTTTCCATCGTCGTCTGAATTCGCGGAAGCAGTCAGTGTCGTCCGTAAATCAAAATAACCTCCGCGTGTTGCAAATTTCGCAAATGCCGATGCTGTAATATTACCTAACATAGTTACAACACATGCACATAATTCATGAATGAGCGGAGGCTTCTAGCTAACGTGAACTTTGAGCTGCGGACGACAGCGTCCACAGCCACGCGCTCCCCTGCTCTAGGTAAGTGTGCTTACGTCTGTACGTGAATCTCTGAAGGTATCGCACTTGCTGCTTTATATAGTAGGGACGACGAAGCACCATCTTTCGCCGACTCAGAGTTCATTCTTGCCAACAATGCGCGCCGTTAAAATGTTCAGACAGCAACTCGTCGGTCAGTGGCAGTGATGCTATTGCACAAAGTAATTCAAGCAAAGAAAAAATTGCCGGACACAGGCATTATCAGGGATCTCCCACCAACGGTTAACGTGCCGGCTCACGAACCCAAGAGGGTTATTTCGCCAAACTTGCACCTTAATTGATATGTGGGCTTTGGCGTCCCAATACCATGTTATGATTATGAGAGACGCCAAAGTGGGGGAATCCGGAAATTTCGACCACCTGGTGTTCTTTAACGAGCACCCAAATCTGAGAACACGGGCCTACAGCATTTTCACCTCCATCAAAGATCCAACCGCCGCAGAAACTTGCACGTTAGATGGCGCGTATTTTAATGGGGAGAATAATAAGAAGCAGTTAAGAGAGATTTTCGCACTATGCTAAAAGTGGAAGACAGAGAAGAAGGAAGGAAGCAAAGGTAGAAGGCAGGGAGGCTAACCAGAAAGACATTTGGTGTGCTACCCTACTTCGAGGAATTGGGAAGGGGACAAGAAAGAAGGAGGAGGGAAGAGAAAGAAGAGAAAATGGAGATAAAGGAAGAAGGGAAAAGAAAGAAAATAAAGGGGAAAGGAAGAAAGAACAAGGAACGTAGAAAGAGAGAAGGGAGAGATAAAGAAGGAAATAAATAGAGTAAGAAATAAAGAAAAGCGAGAGAAAGGAAGTAAGAGAACGAAAGAAACAAATATTGCTTATATTTATTGCATATCTGACAAAATCAAACATTGTCATTTTTCACAACGCAAAGTGTCATGTTAAAAAACACTGGTGCATTGTCTTATTAAGTAGACACACATTCTATGCTAGGACTTCATGCATACTTCACCTTTTGTATTGATGACTCAGGCCTGATTCCTTCCTTTGGCAGCTTTGCATTGAGAGCGTCAAACAAGTCGTTCACCTCTTTAGTGAAAACTGCAGTGTCTTCGCTGTTCTCTGGTCCGGGAACCCCTTGGTTCCTGTAAAACTCCAACCGTATTGCTGTTCCACGGCTGAGAAGCTGCAATTAAGGGTACAACAGTGAGACACGTTAGCACTATTGCACTATGCTGTTTCCACACGACAGCAAATCCAACAAAAGTAGTGTTAACTAATATTAGAAATGTTTTAATACCATTCCTTGCCTGTGTCATTTCAATTGTGCCTTCTCACCTGTGCAGCAAGGCGTACATTCATCTTGCGCA